ACCTCAAAAAGGTGTGATTTTTTTCATTGGGGACTCTTTTGGCGATCATTCAGCTACAGATTCATGCCCGCCTATACTTTTGAGGTGGTTCCCTGCTGAAATGCATAGCCGTATTTCAATAAGTTTATGTTGAATCTCAGGCACGTTGTTTCTCCTTTGCCAATCGTTTCCTTATCGCCAGAAATCGGCGATCTGGATTTGGTGCTGGCCAATTGCAGAAGCTTTGTGAGACCAACCATTTGTTTGGTCTCTTCCTTCCCCATTTGGCTGTGGGTCAAACCCAATGGCATATTGGGGTGGGTGCACCACCAATTTTAGTCTATTGTAGAGGGGATTGGGATGTTCACTGGCGGTACGGGCTTTTGACCCATGGCCATTTTGCTTTGACCTGTTGCTTTCCCTGGGCAGGTTTCCCAAAGCTTTCGGGTTGATTCCCGAAGCTTCCTGATCCCTGGAGGCCACCTGCTGAGCAAGGGCCTTTTGCCCTACCTCATTCACACCGGCTTCAAATCGGAGCGCCGGAGCATGCATCCCCGCGCCTCGGCGGAAAAGAGCAACAGCAAGTCCGAGAAGCGGGCTCGCTATACATCCTGCGCCGCGATAGGGACGGTGCTATGAACCCAGACGTTTTTGGTCCCCTTAAAGGAAACCATAGGGGATGGTTGATAGGGGGATCCTGCAAGAAGCAGTTGGGCTCCGGGCAGGTCCTTGTTGCAACCAGCAAAAGAGCTTAAGCGTTATGGTTCAAAGCCGTGGGTTTGGGCGGTTGTGTTTGGTGCCGGGAGGAAACATGAAAGGACGGGCCCTTGAGTCTCAAAGCACATTGGAAGCATCATGGAAGCGGCCGTCTTGAGAGGCCACTTGGGGCTAGGAGACATTGCAATGGGAGCAAAGTCCGGCTGCCGAACGGGGGGGAGTTGGACTCCGATCTTACCAAACAAAACTGGGGACAAGCAAGAACGCTTATGACTTCAATGAGACACAAGGGCAAGCCAGGTGCAGTGGTGGGTACTTGTGGGGGGGGATTTGCGCTTTGGCAGCCCAGGCCATGTGTTGTCATGGCTGTTGCGCAAGCAAAGTTGTTTGGCCCCATATGACTTTTGCGGCTGAGGCACCCATTGAGAAGGCCGCCCGTGTGATACCCATGTGGGCAGGCGAAACATCTGAGAGACACACAGCGTCTCAGTCAGACCTCGCTCCGTGGCCGTGCCGACGGTCTCATTGGGTCAGCGTCAAGACCACGGCTCCACATGGGAAAGGGTGCCCTTCTGCAATTTGGCTCGAGCTATAGACAGTTTATAGCCAAGCTGTGTCTTTCAGCTTGCCCTAGCCCAAGAGAAAATCCATGACCGGGCTATCCGTGTTCTTCAACTTCCTGTTGCTGCTTGCAGCTGCGGAGGAGTGCGTGGAGGAAACCCCCCAGTTCCTCCAGCGAGGCTTGGAGCTGGGCCGCCTCACGGCCGAGGAGGGGCTGCCCGAAGTTTCGCTCACAGCTGAGCAGGCACGTGCCAAGGACCAGCTCTCAGAGTTCTTCCTCTTCGTCAAGTTCCACAAGGTTGGCGGCTCAACCATGCGCAAAGTTGTAGATGCCGTCACCCAAAGCGATCTCATGTGCACCCAGCAGTGTGGCAACCCCTATTGGCCTTGCGTGGAGAAAGGCATTGGGGGTGCTGCATGCATGGCTGAATACTTCCCCGGTGGTAACCCCGGGTGCAAGTTGGTTCCGTCTGGCTGCACTTCACATGCTGGCCTTGGGGTGATTGAAGACGCCTACAAATCGCAGATCTCGGTGGCCAACAGCTCCGACTTGACAAGCCTGAAGAACCTGTGGCCCGACTCCAAGCGCTATGCTTTGCTTTCCACCTCGGCCAAGGCAAGTTATTTCCTTCCAAGTACGTGGGGCCCTCAGAAGAGGATTGTGATCACCACGATCTTGCGCGAACCGGCGGAGAAGCTGAGGTCTTACTTCTACTACCTGAACTCTGAGCCTACCCACCAGAGGTTTGCGCAATTCTTGGGATTCCAGAGGGACTATGTGGCTGGAAACTGGACTTCTGAGGAGTTTGCGCTCCAAAAGAGCTGGCCGCGCGGAGCGTCCACACTCAGCATCGTCCAGCGTTCCTGCTGTGAGGTCAACCAAAAGCTGGGTCAAGGTGACGTGGCAAAGTCCCAGCGCGTGCTTGCCACTCAGTTTGACCTGGTGGGGCTGAATGAGCGGATGGATGAGACGGTGGTTTGCTTGGGCCGGCTTTACGGCAAGACGCCAGAAGAGATGGGTCTCATTCGGAGGGTCCATGCCACGGATGGCAAGGTGAATTCTGATGTCAAGCTGGATTGGCTGCCACGTGAGAGGGAGATGGCAGCCTACATCACTGCTAAAGACACGGAGGTCTACAACTTCGGAGCCAAACTTTTTGATCTTCAGTCCATCTCGTTGTGGAACAACGCGGAGACTCTCAAGAAGGTGACAGAAACCATGAGAGCGGTTCAAGATGCATAAGTCGTAGGTGCTTGGCAGCGGAGTTCCAGAGAACAAAAGAGATGCGGGGGTCCTTGTTTGGGCCATTTTCCTCTAACTGGCACCCTTTGCTGTGTTCCACAGCAACGCGGGTACACGTTTTGTCCTTGGTGAGTCTGTTGGTGACCCGACTCAATGAACATAGGTGCTCCCCCAAGCGATCCGGATCCGCTTAAGAAGTGCGATGTTTCAACCAGGGCTACCGGAGGTTAACTATGACTCACATGGACATGCCACAGCTATAGGCCATTTGTAGGGATGGTTTCTGGGGAGGCCATTTGTAGGGATGGTTTCTGGGGTGTGTACCCTGAATAACCAGAAACATTACTAATTTGGGGGTATGTCCATTTTGGGTGTCCATTTGGTCCTTAGAATGCCCCTCTTCCAAGGTCCCTCCGTGAGTTACCAGGGCCCGGTCACTTTCGGCAGCTGCTTGCGGCACTTCTCGGCCTTCTGGCGCCCCTACAGGCGTGGGTGAAGTCAAAACCGTTTTGGGATCCCATTTTGGTTGGATTGGGTGAATTCACCACCCATTTTAGGCTTCCTATTTTAGTGGTTGGATTGAATCGGATGTTCACTGTGGGCTAACCGATTTGGATTGTGACCCATGGCCATATACTAGCTGGCGCTGGGAAGGGAGCCAAGAGCTGGGGGTATCCCAACAAAAAGTTGCATTTTTGAAGAGGGAGCCAAGGAGCTATCTTTTGAGTGGGTTAGGATGTGGTAGTAACCCCCCTTTAGTACCTCTAACAAAGCATGGTAGAAACCTGGTATAGGTATAAAGCCGAACCATGTATAAAGCCATATAAATCTTTAGAACCATCTAGTACAACCAGACTCTGCTTTTGCGACTTGGGGCCAAGAGAAAAAACGACTCCCGCAAAAAAACAAACAAAAAAAAAAACAAGCCCAAGTTGAGCAGGTCTCCGGGAAGCGGCCGTTTTGAAACGGAAGGCTCCCGAGGGTGAGATGTGCCTACGGTTCCTACGGCAGATACACTCAGACGAACAGCCGGAAGTTCCCAGAAGGCTTCGGTAAATGGAACCAAGTCTTCCAAAGGATTGCTGGGAGCTTCCATGTTCGTCTGGGGGAGGGTACCTCCTTCTTTTTTTGGTGCCGGCCCCCCCTTCATGTTCTACCTCTTTGCATATCATACCTGTTTGTGTTCTGTCCCATTTGCGCTTTGCCAAAGTACATCTTTCTTGGAAGATGTCCCACCTGCAGGCAATTGCATATCATTGCTGGCTGGGTTGTGTCTTGTTTGTGTAAATTTAAGTCAACTCCATTCTATTTGAAAATAACATTTTAAGTAAGATTCCATTGTCATTAGATTCAACTCAAATCCCAATTAATGTGAATCGAAATCCTTTCAGAAAAGGACACATATTTAAATTCCAAACTGAAACTGAAGTTATGATTAGCATTTTTCCCTGTGAACCGTTTCACTAAACAACGATTAGAATGAACATCACGTTTCGAATGGAATTCCTCTTTAAATCATCTTTCTAAAGATATTCTAATGGAGATGTCCCACCTGCAGGTCATGACATATCATTCCTGTTTGTTGTGGGCCCCATCTAGAAATTTAATCCAACTCCCATCGCTATTAAATTCCTCTCAAATTCGAGCTAAATTCAAGTGAAATCCTTTTGGACAAGAACATCATATTTAAATTCCAAATATAAATTGAAATTATACTTCAATTTCAGTTCTTTGATTTCTGTTCAACACTTTCCAAACAAGAACACATCAGCATCCTATTTGGCATAAGGAGCTTTTTTGTTTTAAGGAGCCTTAGTAAAGAGTTTCATGAAAGGCCTTGCAGGAGTCAGGAGCTCCACAAGGAGCTTTAAAAGGATTTGCACAAGGACAAGAGGCCCTTAAACGGAGCTTTCCGAGGATCTTTATAACTCCTACAAGGAGCTTTGTACGGAGCCTTAAAGGAGCTTTGAGCCTAAGGAGCTTCACAATGAGCCTATGAGCTTCATAAGGAGCCTTATGAGGCTTGAGTCAAGAATTTCAAGCCAGCTGTTGAATTCTGCCTTAAAATCGAAATTCTAGTTCAACTCTGTCCTTGTTGAAATCTATTTAGATTCTAATCAAAGTCCTTTTTTTGGTACGAAGTTCCTCTTCTCAGTCCAATCTAGACTGAGGTCGCTGACTGGAAGCAAGAGGGTGTTGAGTCTATCTAATTTCAAATGGATGCCGAGAGAAAGCTCCTATCGAGATCTTCAAGAAAAGCTTTTGCGCAGATCAGCAGCTCAGGCCCTTATGCATTTGAATCATAGTGATTTGCGGATCCCTGGAAGTTTGAGGCTCTCTGCCTAGAAAAAACGGAAGATCCGAACACCACCCTGCCGATTTGGCCGGCCTTGGTTCCGACCTGAACCTTTGGTTTTGTTGGAGGACAAGTTTTTGTTTGTTGTTTCACAAAGAGGGGATCGTTGGACCAATCCAGTCACTTTCCTTGCAAAAGGCATGAACTTCACGTGGAGATCCTCTCGACACCCGAAATACATCTGAGTGGGTGTGCGTTTTTTTGAGGGTACCGGGTACCCTGGTTGGTTGGTTTTAAAGGGGCACCACAAAAGTCTTGGGGCTCGGACAAGAAATGACATTTCGGAGTGCGAAGCTAAAGTTCATAGCCAGAGATTGGGGGGGTTCCTCAATGTCACGTCGCAATGGGTGTTTCGCATTGGAATTCTTACAAGGGTCGGTTTCCTTTCGGTTTCCCTTTGAACACCACCCAAAAGGGGGCAGGTCCAGCAATTTGAGAAGCTTTCCGACTGCATACTGGCGCGTGCTCCGGAGGCCGGAGGGGAAGTATCGCCATCCCCACCAGCGGAGCAGGGCTGGCGAGGCGGGGGCTGCGGCCGCGCGCATTGCGCTTGTGCAGAAAGTTGGGACGGCGAAAGGAGGCTGCCCATTCGAATGGTGGAATCCTCCTTTGAGACAAACCCGAGAGTAGAAAGGGAACATCGAACAAGGAACTATGCTGAGAATTGGAGTTGTATGATGAGAGTTGGAGTCTGTATGTGGGTATAAGTTCTTTCCGAACAGGGTGGCCGTGAGTCAAGTATTTGTTTCTATTAACTATCCAAAATGCCATGTCGAACGACAACCGACGGCCATTACCTCACAACTCAAAATTCAGCAGGCCAGCGAGTGCCAACACCAGGCATGTACCAAGCAAATCAAGCGCTTCAGTGTTTTATGTGCGCTTTTTCTTGGTTAGTTTGCTATCTGGCCTGGTAGAAATACAACGCCTGGGATACATGACATGATTGGTACTTGGGTCTTACAGAAACTCTGAGTTAGAAACCGAGGAGGCTCACGAGTTGCTCTTGACTTTGCTCCAGTAAAGAAGTGCGTTCACTATTCGGAGTGGCCTTTGCCTTCGCATTTTGCAGAACATGAGTTTGTACAAGAGTGGTCATATATGAATGTATGTTGCGGCACCAAGCCTCAACCTAGATTAGTAGCGCATCTTGGCACCCCTCCAAAGATGCCAATGTAGGCAACTCTTTTCAAACACGATTCCTTCTTTGGCGAATTTCCTCGGGAACTCGTAGGTTAGCTGTCCAGAAAAGTCAGTGAGCTCTTGGTCGTTCGCGGGTTCATCGGCGTGTGGCCATGATGAATGCGGCAATCGTCATCGCCTAGACGCAGGGCTTGCGAGATTGAAACCATTCAACAGGAAGGCGTCCTGCTGTGCATGGGACGAAATCCGTTCGCACCACCTGAGAAACCATGGTTGAAACCATTGTTTGTTGGTATTTACATTGGAATCATCATTCCAGGGTTTCTTAGGTGGTGCAGGATTTCGTCCATCCACAGTAAGAGTCGATTGTCAAAAGAGGCTCTGCCAACCTAGCCTTGATCAAGCGACCAAGCAAGCTCAATCTGCAGCCAATCTAGCAAGGGCGAACTCGAAAGCAAAGCCTCCCCCTATCAATATGACTTGAGTGTGCGGGTATCTGGTGTGTTTCAAGAGAGTTGCCTACACAGGCATTTTTGGAGGGGTGCCAAGATGCACTGCGAATGATGTAGGTTGAGGCTTGATGCCGCGACAGGCATTTATGGACAGCTAAATGGCAAGGCGTTGAACACACTGTTCCGCAAGGCGTGATAAACGGAAGGCATGGCTCACTGTAGGTTAGTAGTATCTCAGAAACACTGTGCCTATCAAATCATCCAAATTTCCGCCTGAACCACAAGTTAACAAGCAGCTTCCCCACAAATTGACATTCTGGCCAACACGCACACACACACACAGCAAGTGTGCGTGTGTGTGTGTGTGTGAATTTCCAGTAAGCAGATCGAATCACTCACAATCTCATGTGGTCTTGCCCTGTGTTAGTTTGCTTCCTTGTTTCTGGCAGACATGAAACATCTAGGGCATCTGGTGCTTGGCTCAGTTATGTCTTGAGGAACTCTTGGGTGAAAGCTGGGAAGGCCGACTATATAATTGAGTTTTGCCTTGCTCCATTCAAAGAATGCTTTCAGTGTTCGAGGAGAAGCTTGCTCAACTATCTGAATTCATGTGAACATACAACTCCAGTTCTCAGCACGTTTCCTTCAAAAGCTGTCTCTTCGGTTGTCACTTTGATCTCCCGGAAAAAGGTACCTTCAAAAATGGGGGAACTTCCCCAGAGCAGCGCGAGCTCCGTTCGGCTCCTGTGCCAATTTCTGCCACTCATGAATCGGGCGGGTTTCCCTTGAAAATCCAACCGCGGCTGTCCTCTCTTCATGGCCACTAGTAGGCAAGAGTGAGCCTGCCAAAATTGCCGTGGGAAATGCTTTGTCGCAAAATTGCCACTCGGGGACAACTGAGCTCCATTCTTGTTTTGCAACTGGCAGTTGCCCGGGAGGATTTTGTTTCAGCGCAGGAGATTTTGGTTGGGGGCTCTTAGGGTTTTTTGCCGCGTGCCGGTTGTGTTGGCGGGCCCTTGTTTGCCCCTCGGAGATATGAGAATACCATT